TTTCATCAAAACATATATATCTATATACACACTCCTGAGAAACATGAATTTTGCTCTCTCCATATTAAAAATTGTTCTGTAGAATCAAAAGATTGACAGAAGAAAAAAAAATAAAGTACTGCACTGATGGAATGGCAAGCTCATACTAGAACATGACAACCCACTTTAGAAACTGCTGTTCTGCATAGGAAAATGTGGGCATCACTGGAGATGTATGGAAGGTGTCTATGGCCCTGTCTTCAGCAGAGAACTGATCCATCATAACAGCCTGCTATAATGAATACTCTGCAAAATTTCCTACAGTGCTGAACTCTGGGGGGTTTCTGCTGGAGAATACTTCTGGCCCTCCAAAAATTCCACCAGGAGAATCAAAATGGAGCTCAAGTATAAGAAAAAGACAGTTGAAAAGAGGGCTCTTTACTCTCCCTTTGAAGAGGGTAAACAGGACTGTAACAAGAAAATTAGGCTTATACATTTATTATTTTTATAAAATAGATGTGTAACAACTCATATTGACCTGTAACACTGCAGTATTCCTGACTTTTAATTTTTTATTGAGTCAAGCAAATAAACTTTTCTACTACAGAGACCAAAGACTGATTTTGCACATCACATCGACAGTAACAAAAGGAATAACTAGTGCTACATTTTCACATGTAGAACATCTATAAACACAAGTTCACAAGTTACACACATGGAAGTTAACAGGGCTGGAATGTCTTGGGAGCCTAGTCTTGGAAAAGACACAACATAACTGCACGCTTTCTAGCCGAATAAAATACTCATGCAGTTTTATCTACAATTTTTTTTTTCTAGATTGCTTGATCATCAGTTGATTACCAAGAAACTAAGGTGCATGGTAAAGTAAAAAAAAACCAAAAAAACAAACAAACAAACAAACAAAAAAACCACACTCCTAACCATAACTTCAGAAGATGTATTGACAAATACTAAAATTGACCTGATTTTATGTTAGTCATTTAAAAAATATATATCCTTTAACAAGCGACTTAACCAGTAGCAGAGAATGAAGTAACTAACTATACTGATCTCATGTTAAGATTTTTTGCCAAATGGACTCAGGAGTTCACCTTGGATGAAGTGCAGTACTTAATACAGTATCATTTGACCAGTGTACTGCTGGGAGACAGAATGATCCAGTAGATATTTCTATCTGTAACTATTAGTATTATCCTTGAAACAGAAACATATAAGCCTCATGACTCTGAAGTTTTTAATAATGAACATGATAAGGCATAACTATATTAAAACCAAGGCCAACATCCGTTTTTTTACTTAAATCTTTGGCTTGCATTCTACTTGCTAAGGTTCCAACAAGAAGCCCTCTACTGTTAGATTTCTCCAAGAACACATTCTGTCATACAGGGTTGGTTACCTTTTCAATTATCAAGGGAAAGAGTTCATCTGCTTTCTTAAAGTAGAGCCAATGAGCCTTTCTAGTAATGGCCAATTAAGAAAAGATTCACTTTTCACTTCATGATAAACTAGACATTTATGTCCTCATCATGACCATTTCCTGTGGAAAAAAAGCATGCTGCACAGCTCATGATGCAGAGGAAAAACACCAAAGAAATTGGTTTTTTCCTTCAACTTTTTCAGGATTCTTCCTTGGTTTTCTTAATTTTTAAATTTAATTCTTTCTTCCACGTCACTGCTTTAAGTTTACTCATGTTTTAATGCAGATAAAAATCAGAAATTTCATATATACAAAATAGTATTTTATAATCTCACATGCTAGTAAAATGTAAAAACTCAGTATGAAACCAAGTCCTATGACAACTAATAGTCATTTCTACTGGCTTAGCCTAGCTAAAAAAAACTTAATCATGGGGGCTAGTAAATCGCCCCTGTTTCACAGCCTATGAGTGTTTTCTGGTGGGCCTTCTTTTTGTTGTTTATTTAAGAAGTAGAACATTATATTCCTTGTCTATTGTCTCCACTAAGCCAAAAACACCTACCTCAAGACAAAGAGTTTCATAAGATTTTAAGAGGTAGAAAAATGAATGAACTACTTAGTTTTTCCACTTTACTCTGGTTTGGAAGTCACAGTTTTCTTTCTGAAGGAATCAACTGGAATTACTGTAGTACTCTACATTAATCCAAATCCTAATACACTAACATTCATATTACTGTTTAACCTTCTCAAACTTGTTTTTTTCAAGGTTACATCTCACCATACTCACTAAAACTGGGCAACTGTGAGTAGTCTAACAAAAATCCAAAACGTGCCAGATATGAGCTGCAGTCACTTCATTTTAAATCACATTCAAGCATCACTCTGTGTACACATTTTGATTCATTAAAATAACTGCCTTAATCTTTATGTGCATTAGGATCGAATCGCCCAGTGGACACTGGGAATTTAAACTAGTGAAAATAACTGTGCTCTGCAGACAGTGGCACCCTTTCCAAAGATTCTCTGAGGGAAGCTTTAATTTGTGCTTAGAGCTTCATGGGAACCCTGCTAGTAAAGGTGCCTCGAGGACACGCTGAATTGATATTGCCATAACACGCACGCATGTGTGTGAGCAGGAGGCCACACTAGTCACAGGTAAGACAGACAAATCAAATGGTAGCATCCCCCCCATCAGCTTTTCTATTATCTGCCCCACTTTGTGCCAATTTCCTCCAGCTTCCCCAACACCTCTTGCTTTGCTGTTCTTCCTTAAGACATGGGATGGGGATTTGTCAAAGTCAATGAGCACTTTATTACAGTGAGAGTGCTCAGTAATGAACAATTCAGCAATTTAATGAGATTCTGTAGATCTGTCTCCAGCCTGTCCATCAAGTTTCACTTCTATAAAGCACCCTGACACTAATCCTCTGGCATACCCAATCTTCACCCTGGGCTGAATATTAGATTCTTCCATGGTATATTGCATTACTACTATAACCTTAGCAAAAATGATGAACTTAACTACACTTGAGGCAATATAGCTGGTCTGATTTGATTTTCTTCTATTGGGTTGAGTGTGAGGGAATTACTTATTTACTAAGATAAAGCAAAAAAACAGTTTCTTATTGCCTTCTGAATGTCTAAATTGGTAAATATTTATGTGTGTCTTTTAATTTATTCTGGGGACCTGGAATATTTATAAATATATATTTATTCCTGGTTGTACAGACTGAATTAAAAAGACACATGCACGTTTTGCCTGCAGCAGAAAACTAGTTTAAAAAAATTCTTCGGAACGGGATTAGTAACCTTTAGAGAGGCAATTATGATAACACTTAAATGGGCAGTGTGGAGTTTGTTGTCACTCAGAAAGCAGCATATTACCTATAAGTATCTCTCCCCAGTATGACCCTGCAACAGAAACAGAAGCTTTGTCATATTTGCCTCGTGACTGGAGTGCATGCAATTAAGAAAATTATTTCTGAGTTCTTCCTGCAGGACAGGACAATGACACAAGATTTAAAAACTCCCACTTCCCAAACTTTGTTTCAGCAGGTTGCAGAGGGCATATGACTCTGGATACACTTGCTCATTAGTGAGCTGGCATTAAGTTATACTTGTAGGGCTTTCCGTAACAACTTTTCTAGCAAAAATATACCCAAGCACATAGCTAGGAGATTCACTGACCCTGCAGAAAGATGATGATAAAAGCCAATTGGGCGATCAGCTATGCTCTATATATGAACTTGGACATCAAAATGTCTTCTGAAAAAGGGAATATGGGCTAGGACTCCAGAGTATCGTGCCTAAAAAATCAAACCAAACCCACCACCATGGGTAGTGTGCTACAGGTTGTGTTGTAGAGACATCTGCCAGAGACTAGAACAGGAAAGAGTCTAACTTTATATTAGTTTTTGCAGAAAATATCATCTTTGTAAAATACTCCACAATCTAAAGCCTCAAAGTTTTGGAAACAAATATGACAGTTATTTGACTGACAGGTTAAGTTACACCTGCATACTGTCATTGTGGTTTGAAGAGCCTAACTAGATAATTTTTACAAATACTTTGTTCCCACATGACACTATCCATCCACAGAACACGAAATGCCCCACAGATGAACACACATTTTATACTTTGAGAAAACAATGGCATATAAAGGAAATTATTTGCTTAGAATAATCTAATAGATAAGTAGATAAATATCAGGGACTGAAATATATATCAGTCTTCTGACTCTCAGTCTTCTCTGTTGGACCAATATAACCCACTTCCTAAAAAGAAAGCACAGGTTTCTTTCAAGCAAGTTACATTCTACCTTGAAATACCCTGAAATATTTTCCTCTATAAAACATAACACAAAAAGGCAACTGAAAGAAGTGTTTGGGTAACCAACATGATTGAGATTTCCTCCCACTATATTGTGAACTGAAATTTTTACAGACATATGATGGGAATATTTCCAAGGATAGATTCTGGTTTAGTTTTTGTATTTCTCTTTAAAGGCTACAGGGCTTTTCCATATCAGGTTTCACACACATACACACTACTAAAGGTCACAACGTAATGCTTTTATCTTGTTAATATTCTATGGCTAGCAACCTGGCCCTCCTAGATCCAGCTTCTTTAAAGGAAATGATCACCACCTCCAGCTTCTTGCCACAAACCTTCCACTGAAGCCTCCACTCATCTCTGAGCAGAGCAGCCTGTGTGATGATTCTCTAATTTGCTTGTGGCTTGTGGCTAGACTTGTGGCACTAGCCTCACTTGAGGCAATGATAATTGAGTTGCATGAATCGGCCATTTCTTCCCACCAACAAAGTTGGATCTGGAAGAAAATCTCTGGCCATATCTGAGTAACACAAGCAGTAAGACAAATTTTTCATTCAAACAAACTAATTGCATTAACATAACACAACACAACACTTTTTGCATTTCATTTAAAAGTTTTCCTCAGTTGTTATTCACAGTTTTTGCTCAAGTGCTTATTCGCCCTTGAGATTGCTCCAGGGTTTCAAAACAACAGATTACTGCTATGGTTTACAGAGTATCACACATTCTGCTTGTTCACCAATCTCCTTACCTGCCAGATCTGTTCTTCACTGAGTGAAGTGAGTCTATCACTTTTAAAAACCTCTCGAAGAAGACAGTATGGTAGTGCCAGAACTTCTTCTGGATGACTCTTCAATAGCTCAGAGAGATGTTTTACTAAGAAGTCAACCACTGCATTCTCCAACAAAGTGAGGTTGAAGAGGTCCGCAAGCTTATACAGGTCCAAGTAATTAAAACTATTTAATTCCTAAATGGGTGAAGCAAAAAAAAAGTACATCTCAGAAGAAAAAAAAAAAAACAAAACAAAACACAAAACAGAGAACAAAAACCCCCACAGGTCTCAGATAATGAAAAAAGATTGTTTGTTTGGAGCTGTGTAGAAGGAACGCAATATAACTTGAAATTAATTACACAGCCTCATTCAAAATGTATGTGTAAATGTTACCAGTGCATATGCAAATATATATGATAAGTATTAATTTATATTGCAACTGCTAAGGTTATATATGCATAAAGCATCTGTAAAAATATTGATTAATACATAATATAATAAACCAGTACAATTTACACTGTGTGACAAGAGCTTGCAGGAGTTAACAAGTGGATTAAAAAAATGTATTTGTTAACTACAGTGGTTTGTTACAAAGCAATTGTTTATTCATTATTTACTGTTTTGATTGAGCTAGAGCACCTGTGTGGTACAACTTTCAGTTCTACGAAACCTCACAAAATACAAGATGCTAAGCTACATTTTATTACACATAAATTTATCCTCAATGAACAGATAGACCCTTTTTTTCCAACCACTGACATCAACCTATAGTGGATGTTGGCCTCCTTTTCTTTCCTTCCCTCTTTCTAGCAGTAGAAAATCTGCAGAGACAAAAGCTACAGGAACTCAGGGCAGCAAGTTTTTTCCATCCTGGTAACCGATAATCTGTATTTATGGGGTAAGGTTTTCAGCTTGGCATCCCTTGTAAATTAGTGTCTCGACAGTTAATTACTGCTATTCTAGACCATGCTGCACCCTTTCAGAGGACAGGCCAAGAATTCATCCGTATTAGAGAAAAACACCCAGGACGTCTGGGAAACAGCAGCATGTTTACCCGTTTTCTCTGTTCTTGCTGTATGCTCACACCTCTCTTCCTCTCCCCTCCGCAATCCCGGTTTTCATCTTCCAATTTACCGCATTGCTCCCTATCAGCTGCCTTCTCCTTGACCAGCTCCATGTGTGAAAATGACAAGAAGTCTTGTCAGTTTCACTTTGCTGGTTAGTTAACATAGGGACTAGAGCAGGAAAGAGAAACAGACTAAATTAAGTCAATTTCACTTTCACTGCTCTGCTGGATGGAATGGCAGCACCAAATGAAACTGACAAGAAATCTTGTAAATGTCAAATGAGCTGCACGGCTGGCAGATAGAGCAGAGCAACAGGGAAGATGGGAAAGTGCGAAGAGGGGTTTTTTTGGAATGTTTTATGGACTACATCTTGAACGTGTGAATTGGGTGGCTGTCCCAATGACTGTGGAGCTGTTTATGCATATGCAATGGAGAGTGGAGAAAGAATTTTTTTCACCTGCTTAGAGGAGTCAGTACTGGAGGAAAGTGAAGCAAATTCCTGTGGAGGCTCCTGCTTGCTATATAATCTCCCCGTCTGAACGATGCACCTTCCCTGGCAGCGTTACGCATTAGAGATAAACCCTATTCATTATCTACTTAAACTGCTGCATAGGAGTTTCACATTGTTTTCTTGGAAGAACAAAGAAAAGTTCTTTACATTGTCAGAACAAGCACTAACAGCCATCATCCCAAAAGCCACATTTATTCTAGTGTCAGTTCCTGTTCACACTAACATAGAGGAGGGTAAGGATAAATCCTCCCCAATTGCAGAAAGAAAGAGAAAGGAATGAATTTTACATGAGAAGTATCTGGTCTGTGTGCTTGCTCAGTGATTTAGTATCTGCAGATCACAGATGGTACCTCACACCACCACTTCTGTGATGGCCATGCAATGGTGGTAACAACACATAGGAGTATAATCAAAGTAAACATCACAGCATTTGACAAGCAACAACCATGGTTTATTGTCCCCTAGTTTGGAAGACTCTTTTTCAAAGAGCTCCCGGATTGAATGAATGCCAAACATCCAGAAAGAAATTTAGAAGAGCTCAGTATATATTTATTGAGCTCCCTTGTAGTCAAGAGCTGTATCTGGGGAGGATTAAAATAAACAAATAAATAATCAAGCATTGTGATCTGAGGATCAACACCCCAACTAAAATACAGTCCTGATCAAACCCCACTAAGTGTCAATGGAGAAGGACAGGTGGCTTTCGGTGGACTTCAGAAGAGGACAATACTGAAGATAACACAGTAAAGTCTTTCCCCATTAGAAAGAAGCAGTAATATGACACACAAATGCAGTTTTCCCCTGAAAAATCTTCAGTGAAATCTGAAACACATTGGTAAGACTTCATTTTTGGTTTGGCTATATTTGATGATCACCCAAACTTCCCTATCCCCTCAAATCAACACCAATTGGAAGTCTTTTAATGAAAGCTGTCATAGAGTTGAAGAGGCCAAATATACTTATGGATGGATAAACTCTCAGGAGTCATTTATACATAATATTATTTATTTTTATTTATATGTGTTTGCTTATTTCAGATTCTTATTTATCTGTCTATTTATTTATTATAGGGATTCATTGGTTTACTTATCTTCATTGGTAAGCTTCAGAGGAGTTTTGATGCTTCACCTAACGTAATGTGTTAGTGACCTGCTGGACTTACGATTTACTGCTAGATGAATACTGCAAATATATTTTGTAAAACTGGTAATCAGAAACATTTGTTTCTGGTTTTGAAAGGTTAGAATTGATGTTCAGGTTTGTATTTCACAGCCAAAGCAGAAAGTAGTGCACGAGCTTTTAAAAATCAAAATTATCAGGCTGTTATACCAATATACAAATTAAAATTATACAGTACTATACATTGCAATCTCTGTGATGATACTAGAAAGCAAAAACATCACACTGAGACTGCAAGACATATATCACAGATCAGGTAACCTGGCTCTTCATATGTGGTAAGACTTTCTGAAACATCAAACTAAAATGAAGCATGTAAGGTTTTTACAGAAAAAAAAACACACAACTTACCTTCTAGCTTTAAAAAAATTCAACAGGAAGTAACAAAGCAATCACTGTCAACTCAGTCTGATTTGCAGAGATTTTCAAACTATACTCTTAATTGAATTAAAAACTTTGTTAAAATATGAAATAGGTTACTATTAAATTAATTTAGTTGTGGTCATGAATAAGAGTTCTGTCAGTCTCTGTTTTCCACAAATTTATTATTCTGTATTAAAAAAGCTGCCTAAATATTTAAGTCACATGCTGTACTGTATTGCAGTATTTAAGTTGCATTCCAGCATTGTATTGCAGCATACGTTCTTTAAAAACATGCAATAGGAAACAGGGTTATGTAAATTATTGAAACTTTTAATCTTGTTTTTATAAACTTTTAAATATATGCCACTTATCTTTTTTGAACCGAAGGATGAAATATGAACACAAGCAGAACTGTCACTAAGAGCTGAAGAGAATTAGGGAAAGGTAGCGATCCTATCTCTTCTAATATGATGTATGTTACACTGCTGAAACACATTCAGACTAAGAAAATACGTATAAGATTATATATACACAGATCTTACAACTAACAGTTGAAAGAGTACTAAAATCTCTCAGTAAACTCAAAGCAATTTAATAAATTGGCCAAATTATTTATCAGTGTCTACTCCTAAATAAGAAACTATCTTTGATCCTATGCATGCTACTTACTATACATCCCCCCCACTTCCCCTCTCTCTGAAGAGAATCCATTGTTATACACTACTGGTCTTCTGATTCAGTAGTATCAACCTTCAGATGCCAAACCAATTTAACAATGAGCTGACATTTAAAACCCTCATAAAAGAAAATCAGTTTTCCGAACAAACATAATCTGAAAGATGACAATAATAAATATTCAAAATAAATGATGTGACATTGTCCATATTTTAATACAGAGGTACATTTTAATATAGAAATATGATAAATTGTCGAACAGGAAAAATAGATATAAACATTGTATTTAAATTACTTCCAAATCCATCTTTATTCGTTTCTACTTTAAAGAATAATTGCCTTGCACAAGCCCCAGAAAAGGATGTAACAGATTGATAAATTAGAGTTAATCATAACCAAATACACAGCAGACTACAATATACCTCTATTCCTCTGCTCTGTGTTATAAATAGCAGAAAAAGCACAAGGAGAACTAAGGGGAAAGAATGCATTTCTTTATGACCTTATTTGAAAGATAAACTCCTTGGGGAAATACAATTTATTCAGATTATCAAGACCCTGCTGTGCAAATCTACAGTCTGGGAGCACACTACAGAGATCAAACAATATTTACTTTATTCTGTTGGGTATAAAAGCTTTTAATGAATGCATAATTAAGACAGAAAAAGTATATACAGCTTTAGAATTCCACTGCCAAGCCAAGCCATTAATATCCAAAGTATCATACCCAGTTGTAACTCCACCTGCTTCCTATTTAGACTACAACACTGTTATAAATCAAGGTATTAAATGACTAGCCCTGCTGCTATAACAGAGAAGAGTTGCATGGTGACACTATTTCCCCTGTTCCTAAAACGGTTTCAGCAAAAAAAAAAAAAAAAAAAAAAAAAAAAAAGGAAAGTGTGAGGTCTCTGGGACAGGGACATGTTTACTCAAAATCCTTAAGCAGCACACAGCACAACAGGGTCTTGACCCTACGTCCTCTAGGTTCTCTGCTATGTTAAATACCATGAAACAGCTACACCATTCAGAAAAGAACCTTGACATAAATCACAGCAAAGACAGACTCTAAATAGATAAGGGATAGTAACAGAATGAAAAATTGTAGTGACAAAAAAACACTTATCTGACAACAAAGGGGATCAACACAACTTTAAGAGAAAAAAAAAATCTGGTTCTGTTGGTTCTAGATCTTCCTTTCTATATCAAAGGTTCTAGTTTCTGCAAAACCTCATACATGTACCCAAGAACTAACAGATGCTGCACATACTCAACAGCACAGTGACATACATATTTCATACTAAGCATAAGCAAAAATATTCTGAAAACTCTATTTTAGATCTTATTTGGAATTTGCCTCCACTAAACACCAAAGCCATCCATGCTGAAGCCTGGTCACA